GTTTTAACGTTGGCTAACCTCTCGAGGCGGCCACCGCCGCGCCGCGCAAACGCCGCCGACAAACACGTTTTCACTCGGTGCCGATGAAATGGCCGACGAGAAAACGTTCTCCACCCTTACGACCGGCGACACACCACGCTCTCAATCATTCTACACGCAGCAGATACGCCCTGCACCGGGACGAGGAACCTTCGTGGAGAAGCTCTGGAGGAGATCTCGAGGTTTAGAGGGTTTTTTCGTTTGGGGCTGGTTTGTCGATGGTGTGATTGTTTCTGGCGTGTTTTTGGAAGATGTAGGATTTTTTAGGTTGAATTTTTAGGGAGTCTGTGAGGATGAGGGGCCAATTTTTGGGTAATTTTGGGTAACTTTGTGAAATTGTGGTCTAGAGATTGCTGTTGCGAATGCATGTGTCCCTTCCGTATGCAATTAAATAACTACTATTTTGCAATACTATGCATAAGGTTGTACACCTCCTCCTTCCATTATTGCAATAGTAATACGAATGAAGAAACCATAAGACACCTATCGTGATATAGTTAAATACTTTTATAGAATGACCAAAGTACAACCGACGTTCTTTGAATATAATAACTCTGATAACTTTAATAATGAACACTGTATGGTGCACTACCATACTCAACTCAACACTATTTAGAATATGCAGAGATGAATATAGTATCTCTACCAATACCTCTCTAAAAAACTATAACCTATTTTATTCGATAAAATCGTCAAGACTTCCTGAAAAAAGGCTTCAAATTAATTACCACACCCAGCAGCACACTTCTCCCCATCAACTACATTTACCTACAGGAAGAACGTTCAAATTACACTAATCAACCAAAAAGTAAACGAACAATTCCTATAATCTACCCAAGAAATCTCAAGTTCACCCATTCCACGAACTCAAACAACGCGTCCAACGAATACGAACCAGAAGAATTATCTTCTCTACTCCACAATCAATAACCAATCTCCAGCTACGCCACACAACACGTCAAGAACGAGCCTATCTACCCCGTCCATAATTAACATCATCAACGAGTAACGAAGAAGCTCCACCGTCTCGCCGTTCTTCTTCCACAACCCATAATTGAAAATCTGTCAGAGCCGATGATGTCGCTGCCCATCAACTTCAGCTACCGGACGATCCCAATGGCGTCGGGACGCACACGAGACGGAGGAACGATCGTCGTACAGGTAGTACGTATATATATATATACCTGGTGATCCTGGAGCAGTTTCTCGAGCGTGTGTTTGCTCAGGCCCCGCCGTTCGCAGAAGGACGCCGCGCCGCGAGGCTCTCGAGAAGAGGAGGCAGCAGGAGCGCGCGTGTGCGGCTCACGCAAATGACTGGCATAATAACGGTAATACGACGGGGCATTATCTGCACGCGCTCGAATTTTTGCGGACAGACAGGTTTCCCTTGGCGATTCTCGCCTTTCCACGCGATGACCCGCGGTTTTTGCAGGTCGCGAGAGGCATCCAGTCATCGCGATATAGGTACCTGCTCGATAGGATCGTCCATTGGGACGTCGCCTCGAGAATCGAGCATTGTCCGGGTCTCTCGATCTCCCATGGAGAGGCTTCGATAACAGAAGGATCACGTAACGTGTTCTTAGGACGAGGAGAAAAAGGTTCGATAGAGCATGGGAAGGTTTAGGTGGGATCGTGAGGAATGCGGGGATTTCGCGTGTCACGAGCGCTTTTGAGGGAAATTGCGAGTAGAGGATTGCTTGGGATAATTGGTAAAATTTTTTTCCGATTTGGAAGTTTAGATTTTGGACGCACGATAGAGCATGGGAAGGTTTAGCTGTAATAGAATCGCGAGGAATGCAGAGATTTCGCGTGTCACGAGTGCTTTTGAGAGGGAAATTGCACGTTGATATGTTTTCTGAGGAAATGAGGATTGCTTCAGGTAATTACTAAAATTTTTTGAAGATTTAGAACTTCAGAGAGATTTAGATTTTGAGAAATGAAGTTTGTATAGCTGTTATAGCAGTTCTATGTAAGAAGTACAGTAATGAACACTTTAGTGAAAAATTGTATAATTATTCTAAATATTTTTATTATGTCGAAATTATTAATATTCTGAATTTAAATTGGAAGAATAAGAGTAACTTTGAAGGTAATAAAACTTAAATTTGGAGAACAGAAAAGAACTTGAAAAATAGCTTTATTCTAAAACTAGATAAAAGATAGAATTAAATTCAGGGAATAGAGAAAATCTAAAAAATTGATCAATTCCAGAATAATCCTTGATACTTTTATGCTTGTTTAATCGCGTTAAATGAAATTCTCTTGCAAAAAATTTAATTAAAATCACGAACATCTGGAAAGAAATGTCAATATTGTATCAGTAGATATTAGTAGTACCTTCGGTGTAATAATTTATTCTAAAAACAAGACGGAGCGATTTAAAATATCTGCAAAGCCGATATTCCTGTTTTCACGAAAATCTTAAAAGATTGAATACTGTACAAACAGTTTCTTCAGATCACGAAAATTCATAAATCGACTTCACTCCCTTAACCCCTTTCGCTGCGACAGATTTTCGCAAAATCGTTTCTGTTGCCCGTATCGTTTCAAAATTTGTTTCATTCAATTAAGGTGAACCAGTGCAAAGGATAAAATTAATACAGAAGTGCGCCAATAGCACGGTGCAAACAAAATTTCCAAAGCGGCAAAATCAACGAAAGGGTTAAAAGAATCGAAAATTCCACAAAACACGAAAGAATCAAATTTCCAGTTCACAAAATATCCTAACAAATCTCCATCCGCTTGACAAACGCGACTCCCTTCGCTACATCAAACGAAATTCTCCACTTTGTCAAGTTAATAAACCTCCGACACCCACACCTATCACCTCAATCACGCGACAAACCTTCGAAATTTCAATATTCCCGCACGTTCACAATCTCCACACCTAATAACCCGACGGGACAATTTTTCACCCAAGATTAACCCGCTCGGTCACAACCATCCGTTCGCCAACTAAACGTTTCCGGTTCCTGAGAAACAGAACACCCTTGCACACAAACCGCGTAAGTACCTATCCACAACTTTCATCGATAACACCGCGTAGTTATGTTAATTAAATCCCTATTCGTACACGCTGGTACACGTCGTGTGGCCGCTAAGTGAAACGTACATCAGCAGGCGAGATTGATCAGCGGAAGATTAACGGATCTCCCTCCGCGCACGCTCGCTACTGAAATAAATGTCACGGTGTAACGGGCGAGTTGGATCACGGCAACGGCTTAATAGTACGAGACAAATTATCGGCTATTGATAGCCCCTTTCCGATCTCGGCAAATTCGAGCCCGCCGATATGTAAATTTAGAGCCCCTCTTCCCCACCCCACTCTCTTCGACGTTCTTTCCCCACCGTCGCGGGGATCGATAAATCTCGCGTGATACGCGATTATTCGCGAGCCCCCACTCGTCACACGTACCGCGAGCACCGTTTGAATTTTGTATCGGCGGTATTAGCTTTGCCAAACCGCGATGTCGCAGACAATCAATTTCTCTGGTGGCCTCGATTAGACGAAAATAATTCGCAACTATAGCGGAGATCTCGTCCTCTCCTCTCAGCTGGGATCCATGACCCAACGCGCGCGTAAAATCGATCCGCGTTCCAATGGCGCGTCAGGTATGCGCCATTGTGGCTTTGTCGGGCGTACGAATGGTGGGCGACAGGAAGAATTCGACGCTTGAGATTTTTCGACGGATTACGTTTTCTCCGTTGACACGTTAGTCGTTCACGATTTTTCCCTTGAAATACGTCATTGAGATTTTCACATATCTGTTTCGAAATAAATTTACAAAGCGCTGTAAATGGTTCTGTTTCTCTTTAGTAATGCCGTAACAAATGTTTCACGGATTGAAGGAAAATTTCTTTGGAAAATATTGATTGGTTAAATAGTTTTTTCCAACGTGACGCGATTGAAAGAAAAGACGCGAAATCAAGCGCGGCTCTAAGCGTCCCGACGCCAGTGTGTTAACTTTAGAAAGATGAATAGGTAGATATGTCACCAGAAGGACGGTTTAACGTTAATCTTTCTCATTATACAGTTCTCTTAAGGCTTCTATTTGTATGTATTGAGGATCTTTAATTGGCGAATAAAGATTGATTCAATCGACTGCAGAGAAAAGAAACGTTTATTGATAGAAATGAAATACAAAAGAACGGAGGCGAAAACCCGAGTGAAAAACAGTTACCCAGTTCGGGGTTGTCACACGACTGCTTAAAATGCGGAAAAACATTTGTTATATACTCGGCATCGCTTCACGGTCAGCGGACCCATGGCTTTTATGGCCCGGCCTGGGCCTACGTTAAGTAGAGAAACTCGCAGTAGGAAAGAAAAAATTCCAAATATAATCTATTCTCAATAGTATGTACAGGGTGTCCTAATTGTTTCCGATCAAACTTCGTCAGTGTATTCTATGGACACGAGTGAGAAAAAAATGTCGTGTGGACATAGGTCGTTTGAAGCTTTATTATAAAGTTACAGCCATAGAAAAGCTATCGTAACTATGTACCTGTCGTCTAATTTCTAACGAAAAATTGATTCACTGACTCCAATTTCACATTTTACAACCTGTGTAACCCTATCGTTTAATTAAATTCGTACTCTATAAGGACACTGCTTACTCAACAGTAAAACGTGAAGGCCTCGAATCTTTAATTAACCCTTTGACTACGAAAGGCGTACGTATACACTCTCACAGATTTATCAATATATACCAAAAACATAAATATACTCCTTATTTCGGTCAATCAGCATAACAACCACGCGAATATCGCGAAAGTGCGCGACAGTCAAAGGGTTTAATCGAATTTCCACAGAAAAACAGTTACACCTATTACACGTACCGTCTTACTTCAAACAAGAGGTACAAAACTGAAAAAAGAAAGCTAACCAAAGATGGGAAGACCGATCACACAGCCTGCAAAATCATCCACTCGTTCCTACTGAAAAAAGAGAAGAAGTCTCTTACCTTCGACTGATCTTGCTGTTGCAGCAATTGTTCCCTGAGCAGCTGCAGCTGCAGGATCATCTCGGAGAGCCTGCGCTCCTTCTCCGCGAAGCTTTCCGCGCAGAGGACCCTGTGCAGGGCTGAGGCGCCGTCCTGCTGTACCTGTCCTTCCGTGTTCTGCATCCTTCCAGAGGCTGGGGGCGAGGGTGGCACGGTGTTCGCCACGCTGGCGACGCCTCCGCTGTAACGTACACCATCAGAGAACCACGGTCAATTACGCTTTCCTACGTACACATACACAAGTCTCTCTCTCTCTCTCTCTGGTCTCTTACTGTAAGTTTGCACCGGTATGCATACGACAGAGAGAGAGAGAGAGAGAGAAACACGGAGATAGAAAGGTAAGAGTAGGTAGATCAGCGACGTACGTGGGCTATTCGCGTGCTAGCAAGAGTTTCCAGTGGCTCTGCTGGCCTCTGGAATGGGATAGCGGTCCGCGTACATAGGGCCGGGAGCCAGGTGAATAATAGATAGGGTCGCGGCCGCGCAATCACGGTAGCCCGAGTGTTTGCCCCCGTGATGGGGTGTTCTAGCTTCCTTCTCTCTCTTTCGCACCCCTACCTGCCCCACCTTAACCCATCCTACTTCGTTTCTTCCCCCTAAAGTGCCCTCCTGGTCTACGCCCGGAGCTCTTCTCGTTCCTCTCGGCTTTTATGTAGAGGAAAATGGACCACGAATAAGTGATACGAAGCCATTGTGCCTGCGTTCAGCCAGCTCGATGGACCTCTCTCTTTCTTTCTCTTTCTCTCTGCACACCGGTCTGGCTAGAGGAGATCGTGAAGGACATCGCGCGCGCATGGATGGATGAGGATAAGGACGAGGATTGAAAGAGCCGCACCTTGCTTACCGCGAATCTGGGGCAATATACGTGTCGCTCTGCCCGGAACCGGATCCAGTTCGTTACGGGGTCAACGGTTAAAGGGACGGGCGCATTTTAAAGGCTGGGTACCCTAGTTTAGGCTTCCGACAGTCGTGCATTCTAGTTTTCTGAGGAGATTCTCCGGTATTTTTCAGGGTGAGTTCGTGATTTTTTCATGAATTTCCTGTTCTTCGGGATGGAGCGTCTTGAGAGGCGCTCGGTAGGCACAGCGATTGTCTAATTCATTTTAATAAGGGAAGGTTGAGTAGTGATCATATTTCTTGGTACTAAAAGTTTTGCCATTTTAAAAGTAAGTCATTTTGGTTTCTGAGTGCTTCCTATTACGATAGCATTTTTCGTTAATAGAGGATGTCTGGGAATTATTATACTCGGTAAATTGGAGATGGTTGTCGAGTGACTTGGAGGAACTTGTGGTTCCACAGTACGAAGTGGCTTCTATGATGACTGAACTTTTCATTGATAAAGGACATCCAAAAATTATTATAAATACTCAGGTAAATTGGAGATGGTTGTCGAGTGACTTGGAGGAACTTGTGGTTCCACAGTACGAAGTGGCTTCTACGATGACTGAATTTTTCATTGACAAAGAACGTCCAAGAATTATTGTACATTAGATAAATTGGAGAAACTTATACTTCCACAATAAAAATGTCCAACGAACATCTCACTATTAACTTAATGTATCACATAAGCTAAAGTGCTTGTTCCAGTGCACTTGCACCCAAACAAATCCAAAGAGCCAAGAATTTCCTCCTCATCTCACCAAACCTAAATTTCTTCTCAGAACCATGCCACACATTCCAACTCCAGAAATCTAAAATACCCGCAAACTTGGACCAAATTGCACCCCTTCTATCTAGAATTCCTGCACAGCCAGCCTCCCCAAATCTTCCAAGCACATTTCCCCAGCAAAATCGATTAAAATCACAGAAGAATGCAGAAGGTGCAAAGAAGCCGAGAAAGGAGACAGAAAAATTGCAAGTTAAGACGTAAAGGGAATGCTAAAAGAAAAATACGAGTACTGTACACGTTGCACAGGAATTTAATTAGACCTCGTGCACCGTACAGTGCACAGTGTTCTGTCGGCTCGTCTGACTACCGGGCAAAAATCGCTCTCCATGAAACCGTTACTTATCGAAGAAACGTCTTTTATCCTTGCCCGCCGATGAAAGGCCCTTGCTGTGCGTGCCTTTCTTTTCACGGGCCGATAATAACGCTCGGTGGGCGGTTACAAGATTCTATTCGCGCCTGTTGACCTCGGTATCAGGCAACAAAAGGCTCATTCTGTCCCTATTATCATCCCTCCTCCTCTCTACGACGACACATGCGTTCCCTAACGCTTATTCCTTTCCGGCTGGCCAGAAATAGACCGCTGTCACCGGTGATGCGTCTTTTATCACGCCAATTTCAACGCTGTACCGCTATTTTCGTCGAACACGCGGTTAAAAATAAGGTCACCCAATAAGGGGCCGGAATGGACGAGAAGAAGCTCGTTTCGGTAATTGAACGATCGAACGATCTTCCGTGGAGTCGGTATTATTTTCTGGTAATTGACAACTGTAACGTAACTCCGTTTGTTTGCGATATAGTAATTTTTGTAAAATATTGGTGTTTTCTTGAAGAGGAATGTGAAATTTACAATTTGGCTTATCTAACATGGATATTAATAGCGAAAGGATTAAAAGACTTGTTCGTACAGATTATCTCTGCAATGAGGCTATCGGGGGAGTAGCGGCCTATCTCCAAAACGTTTGTTTCGAGATCACGGCCAATAAAATCGAAGATTAAAATTTCAAACACTTTTTTGAAATATTTTCCGAAGTTTCTACTTTTGGGTACACACGCGTGCATTTTTTTTATTATTTCTCTCGGAGGATTACTTGGGCCATCACCGAATGAAAATTTCGCTGCACAAGTGATTTATACTGAAACGTAAATTCGCCCAAAATTGCAAGTTGGGCGAATATAGCGCCTCGAACGAGCTTCCCAAATGGAGATCGATCGTACGCGAACGAAGTCTCCTCCTAATCGTTTTCTCTTTCTTGCCACTTTTTGCTCACTTTTTATCGTAAGACGCGTTAACATAATTTCAGTCGGAACACACGCTCATTATGAAATTGACGATACTTTTATCTGCTGCGTGTACTCTCTCGGTTTATATCATTAAATGGCTGCACACGCGTGACACGCATGGTGGAAGTTGGCAAGCAGATATTAGTATCAAAAGTGGAGCATGTAATAATAATGTAGGAGTTTTTAAATGCGTACGCGGCCGTTTTAATAATTCCACACGCGTGTACACACCGTCCTCTCTCTCTCTCTCTCTCTTAGAAATTAAGCTTTATTTTTGAAAATTAATTTCAACGGGTGGGGGCAAAAATATGGTGAATGGAAGAGAACGAAAGGGAGAATATTTCGCAACGAATTTAACAATTTTTTCTTTCATTCACCCGTTCGATTTTCTATCGCGATGAAAAGAAAGAAAGGAGAGAAAAAAAACAGGCGAATACACGCGGCGAAATTCATCGAGTATCGGCGATCCAATTCTTTCCACCGATTTAATGATTCGTGGTATAACAGCTGCGATTTGTCTTCAAGCAGCGGAATAATGCCGGTGTTGTTTGATTTAGTTTGAAAGGCCGCTACAGATGTCTAAGCGGAGAATGATTACAAAATAACAACGCTCCTGTTATCGAACAAATGGGCCTAGTATATGCGTCACTCTTTCACAACGTTGAATCTGATGAACCGAAAATTTCGCTCACCTCTTATCACCATTCATCGCGCAAACATTCCATTTACTTTTCTTTTTTGTCGAACGGTGAATTCAATTTCCACTATCAATCACCTGAATAACTTGCTGAAGGAACTGTTGGCAAGTAAAATTGTTCGAAGTGAATCTGACACGTGAATTGTGCGGAATATTTTTTTCTACTTAACTGAATTTAGATGAGAAATTCCTTGGATTAGAAATTCCAAAAATATATCATCTTTTTTTTAGCGTCAATTCGTCAATTGTGAAATTAATATTTGAACTTATCGATCGAAATTTCTGAAAATACAAATCTTTTTTTTAGTGTCAATTCGTGAATTGTGAAATTAATATTTGAACTATCGATCGAAATTCCACAAACACAAATCTGTTTTCTACTGTTAATTCGTGAATTGTGAAATGTCACGTTCGTCTTAATTAGCGCCTAATAAGAACGCTTAGAGTCTCCAACCGTAACTTAACACGTTCACTGTCATAAAGTGTACAAGTACAAAGTGAATTTAACTTAATCGTCCGAAGAAATGACGAATTCGTCCCTTTTTTTGGTTACATTCTTTATGTTTGAGTAATATTTTTAATTTAATTATTTTCACTAGAATTGAAAGGTAGACTTCTTTCTGTATCAAAGAATCAGCGAGTTCAAACTGTCCATATTATGCGGTTCAGTGGACAGTAAAAGGGTTAACAAGAATTACACGAATTCTAAGTTAACAAGAAAGAACTCGATTGATCACTTGAGGGAACAATCTTCGAATGACCTAATAACACACCTCCACACACAAAAACTACCTTAATATCAAAAATGTGCAAAAACTACAACCAGTGACTTTATTTTTCCCCTTGCAAATGAGAATATGATGTATTTTACGCTCAATGCAGGCGCAACGGTGCAACTAAAAATGAGCCATCACCTTCTAAACGCTGGCTCATCCAGTGACGAGTTAACTCGTCGTTCTCAATCAACCCTCTAAAACGTCAAGTGACTTGGAAGTTACGAATCCATTTATCTAAACGTTATGAATCTCATTTTCTTTCTTTATTGCTACACTATTCCGTTAAATTGTTATACCTATTATTTATAACAATCATTAATTAACTGCTCAATTGTGTAATTGCTTCTGTGGGATTTTAGAGGGTTAACAAGTTAAACCTGAAGAAGCTAGCGCATCAAAATCAAATCTATTTCCTTGCAATAATCATTAACTCTTGCTTCTCTCGTGAAAATGTAAGATTGTTATCAACCCTAATTTATTTTCTCGTTAATTGCTTCTGTGGGATTTTAGAGGGTTAACAAGTTAAACCTGAAGAAGCTAGCGCATCAAAATCAAATCTATTTCCTTGCAATAATCATTAACTCTTGCTTCTCTCGTGAAAATGTAAGATTGTTATCAACCCTAATTTATTTTCTCACGAACGAAGAAAACTTGGATTGCAGAGAGTTACCAGGTTAAACCCACAAAAACCAAACTACGATTCGACATCGATAGGAACAGGTGACGAATGCTCCTCCTGCGTGTTTAACACGTTCGTC